TCCAGAAAGCCCCATCTCTTAGCCTCTGTAACTATCATGCTGACTCCGTGCCAACTGCCAGGCAGTTCTAAGGACTTTCGTGTGGACTCGCCCCATCCTCAAGGGGCCCTATGAGGCAGGCATCATTACTGTCACCACTATGCAGATGAGGAAACTGAGGCACAGAGTGGTTAAGAAACTTGCCCGAAGGCTCGCAGCTAAGTCGTGATGGAGCTGGATCTCTCGGTGGGGACAGTGTGACCCCAGAGCCCAAGCTTTAACCACTGACAGTTCTGCCTCTCCAGTATCGCCTCCGGTTATTTACATCTTTGAAATGAGAAACTAACATTAACCCGCCCGCAGAAGCAAAGAGAACTATCCTACCACACCCTCCGCACCCAGAACCCTAAGCAAGGCCAGGGTTTCCCATTGTTTCTCGCCCGGCTTCCTGCCTCTCCCCACCCGTCAGCACTTGCTCCTCCCCTTCACCTCCAAGTCCCAGTTACCTGAAACAGATAGAGCTTCTCTGCCAGACTCTTGGCCAAGTACACGTCGATCTGGGAACAAGGGAAGAAGACTTAACCAGGAGGCCGAGCACAGCGCCCCCTGCCCCGGGACACGCACACTCTTCACACTCCGGTTAAGGACTAGGGGCTCGGCGGGGTGGCTTGCGGGAGAAGAAACCATGTCTTCAAACTACCCGTGCCCAGGAATCCCTCCCGACAGCTCCAGGGGCACCAGAACAAGAGTTCGCCTGGCCCCTTACCCGGTTCACTACAACCCAGTGGGAACACACCCTCCCCTGCTGCCCTGGTCACGTTAAGCGCTTTTCTGAGAGGCTGGGCAGGTGAGGACGTACCTGTGCGTGTGCTGCCTCTGTGCCCTCCCCCGACCTATCCTGGACCAGGTGGTCTACAAGGCCCCTCTTGACCGCCTGGGCCCATTTTCTTCCTTCCCAACACTAACCACCCCTTCCCCTCCGTGCAGCACTCGTCTTCCTGCTTCCTGGCTCTTCCCTTGAGTCACCTGGGCCTTCGCATGTGCTCTTCCCTCCACCTAGAACACTCTTCCCACGTGCCTCACCAGCCTTCCTTGTACCTGCATCCTAAGGACTCGGCTGAGTCACCACTTGAGCAGGAAGCATCCAGCCCCCTGGCTACACGGGGTGCTACCTCTATCCTCCAAGTCCCCTGGGCTCCCCCTGGCTCATCGCCAACCAACCCTATTGTAACTCCTGCTACTGCAGCATAGTCGTGGCTTCAATGCATTTAAAAAACTCAAACCCAAAAACTTAACAGCCCCCAAGCAAGAAAGAGCCACCTCTACTCATCCCCAGGGACCTCCTCCTTGCCTTGCCCCTCCCACTTAGAGGTTAGGCTCTAGGTACAGGGAGGCTGGAGGGGATTACTTTTTGCCCTTTGACTTCCCAAGGTCTAAGTTCTGGGTTGAAAAGATTCTGAAGTGTAAACAACCGTCTCTTTTCAGGCCACCTCTGGAACCTGCCTCCTCTCCCTCACGTCCTGAGACTCCTTCTTCGTCAGTGTCGCCAGTAAGCCTCCAGGGGGCGGGGACACTGCCCCGCTCACTGCTCTGTCACAGCCCCCCCACCACCACCGGCACACAGTGGGTCCCGTGAGCAACTGCAGAATGGCTCAATCCGGGAAACCTGGGAAAGGAGGGGGAGCTGCCGAGCCCATTCATTCGTTCGTTCATTCACTCATTCATTCAACCAGCAGTCACTGGGGATGGATTAAGTGCCAGGCATAGTCCTTGGCTTTGCAGACACCGTGGTGAACAGAACAAAAGCAAATGAACTGAGATCTAGGGGCTGGCAAGTGCTACGGCCAGTAGGAGGCAGGGCCGAGGTAAGAGCAAGGCAGAGACCCAGGAGGGTGTGCAGGAGGAAAGCCGCGGGAGGGCGGGCGGCAGGGAGGCCTCTCTGACAAGGCAATGTTGGATCAGAGAGCCGAGGGCAGGGGGGGCGTCAGCCGTGCAGGTGTGTTGGGGGCAGCAGAGGGGTCCAGGCAGAGGAACAACAAGGGATGGGGTTCCCAGCATGCCAACAGGTCCCAGACTGGCCTGAGGATGCGTGGAAGGGGCCCACTCCTTCAGCCCCGTGGGTGGAGAGCAGAGTCACCTCCTGTATGACTGGGTCATCCTCTTCATTGGCCATACTAGGGGAGAGCCGGCCACGCAGTTCTCGAGCTCAATCTGCAAAGGAGAGCAAGAGACCTGAACCATCGGTCCTGAACCTGAACCATCGTTTACCAAAGCACTTCTGGGGCACCTTTTCTGCGAAAGGCCCTGCACTGGGAAGGAGGAGCCCGTGACAACAAACCGACTTTTCTACATCCACCGTGAAGTCAACAGTGGACAGCCAACTGTATACCCCATCAGCCAAAAAAAAATAAAGAAAAAGAGAGAAACCACCCAGCATCGGGTGTGAACAGGCAGACCCAACAACACGTGTCTGCTGTACCTGCGGGGAAAATAAATGACTGGTTTTAAGGGTTTCTTCACCACTCACAAAGATTGCGCCACCAGGCAGGTGGACGGAGGCTGGCAGGACCACAGCCATGATTAAAACACTTGAGGCCGGGCGCGGTGGCTCACCCCTGTAATCCTAGCACTCTGGGAGGCCGAGGCGGGCGGATTGTTTGAGCTCAGGAGTTCGAGACCAGCCTGAGCAAGAGCGAGACCCCGTCTCTACTAAAATTAGAAAGAAATTAATCGGACAACTAAAAAATATATAGAAAAAATTAGCCGGGCATGGTGGCGCATGCCTGTAGTCCCAGCTACTCGGGAGGCTGAGGCAGGAGGATCGCTTGAGCCCAGGAGTTCGAGGTTGCTGTGAGCTAGGATGACGCCACGGCACTCTAGCCCGCCCGGGCAAAAGAGTGAGACTCTGTCTCAAAAAAAAAAAAAAAAAAAAAAAAAAAACACACTTGAGAACTGAGGGCCACAGGGAAGCTTTAAAGAGCCACACACCAAACAGCAAGAATGACATCCAAAGGCTGTCTCTGACATTTGAGTTTCAAGTTGACTTTAACTCTAATCCCAAGTGAGATGACTGTTCTGTGTCTGTGGTCTAAAAATGACCCTATTCACACACTTCTCTCAGGCAATCAACACTACAACCCTGTGTCCCCATTTTATAACAAAGAGACAGAATAGAACTCGGAGACACTTTACATGTCTTTATCCAAAGTCACACAGCAAGCAAGATGACAGACTGGACTTCAAATCCAGGCCCTCTGACAGGTGACAGGTACAGGTACAGGTGGGGGAGTTCAGAGGAGGGCAGGGTCTCCCTGCTAGGGGAGGGGCACGTGGACCATGACCTCAGGGGCAGAAGGATTTGGACAAGGCTGGACAGCAGAGGGGAGGAGGAATCCCAGGAAGCACCTCCACCAGTACCTGGAGGGAAAGCTGCGGGTCTCCACGGTGAGGGGTCAGTAATTCAGCTGGGCTGACCCTTCCTATACCCAGAGAGGTGTCATAGTTAGGAAGACACCTGGGCACCTGCAGACCTCAGCGGTTGCCAGCTTTTGGGTAAGACCAGAACAGTTTTTGTCTTATCTACTTGAAACATGTGAACTACCTAAAAGGGCATAATACCTTCACCATGGGATTCAATGTCATCTAAGCCCCCTCCCCAGCCACCACCTGAAGCCGTCTCAGTTATCACAGGTACACATTCTGAACTTGAGATTGCTCAGGCCAAGCGCTGGCATCATCCTGCTCTTCCTCTAATCCCACACCAGCAAACCCTGTTGGCTCCACCCTTGAAGTACAGCCAGAATCCGGCCACTGCCACCAGCCCGCCCCAGCCTAGCCCAGCCAGCTCCTGATCACTTGCCCCATCACAGCAGCCGCCTCCTGACCAGTCTCCCCGCTCCCACCCTGTCCCCTGCGGTCTTTGCCCATACCCACAGCCAGTGATCGTTTTGGAAGCCAAGTTAGATCATGAACCTTCAAAGGCTTCCCCTCTCACTCAGAATAAAAGCCAAAGTCTTTATCATGCAATGTAGGCCCTAAACAACGCCTACCCCTTGACCTCTCAGACCTCATCTCCCAGCCCTCTCTGGGCCTCTGCAGCTGCTCTGCCCCCAATAACCTCACGGCTCCCCCATTTCAGGTTTTTGCTCAAATGTCACCATATCACTAAGACCTTCCCTGTCCAAATCAAAATTGCAAACTACTGCCCGCCCCAACTCCCTCCTCTGCTCTGGTTTTCTCCTTGGCACATATCACCACGTGACAGTTTACAGCTCTGCATCTGTCCCCACCTCCACTGCTACTAAGCCATGAGCTATGTGAGGGCAGCGATTATGGTCTATTTTGTACCTTGTGGTATCCCTAGTGCCTAGCACGTAGCAGGCACTCCATACATGTTTGTTGTCTGAATAAATGGACCACAGGAATGCTATTTAATAGGGAGCTACATGAGGATTTTGAGCAGAGGAAGATCTGGAGGGGGCAGAAAGAGAGATTGCAGAGAAACAGGTTCTCATAACAGTCCAGGAGGTGGAGGACTGGATGAAAATTAAAAACCAAAAATCAAGGTTTAGGTGCCTGCTACTGCACAGAGGGCAGTGTGGAGGGAGAGCCCGAGACCCCATCCCACTTGCACTGGCTGCCAAGTGCCACAGACACACGTCAAGCATTTACCTTCTCTGTGGACAACTGAGAGGTTGGGGACTTCCAGGTGATCAAGGGAGCAGATCACATCACTAAGAGGGTGTGGTCCAGGAGGTTCCCAAGACACACTCTTTTTCAGTTATTGCTGCACCCTCCTGGCCTCTGCCCAGCCACTGGGATCAGGGAGGATGCGTTGCCCTCTCAGCTGGAGAGCAGAGGTGCCTCCCTCTGGAGAGGACACCTGACTGGGTTAATGCAAACGGTGTCCCCTCCCTTCATTCTCCCAGCCAAGATGATCCAACTCAGTGGCTTTGAAAGTTTTCAGCCTAAGACCCACAGGAAGAATTAATTTCATATAAACGACCCAGAACACAGGCCGGGTGTGGTGGCTCACGCCTGTAATCCTAGCACTCTGGGAGGCCGAGGTGGGTGGATCATTTGAGCTCAGGAGTTCGAGACCAGCCTGAGCAAGAGTGAGACCCCCGTCTCTACTAAAAATACAAAGAAATTGGCTGGACAACTAAAAATATATATAGAAAAAATTAGCCAGGCATGGTGGCACATGCCTGTGGTCCCAGCTGCTCGGGAGGCTGAGGCAGAAGGATCGCTTGATCCCAGGAGTTTGAGGCTGCTGTGAGCTAGGCTGACGCCAAGGCACTCTAGCCTGAGCAACAGAGCGAGACTCTGTCTCAAAAAATAAATAAAAAATAAATGACCCAGAACACACATACAATTACATAACCAAAACAAGGTTTCACATAACCATAATTGTCCCTACTGTGTGTGATGCAGTGACGCTTTCTACTTTAGTTCATTTGACATAAAAATGTTGCTTACAGTCTCCCTAAGCTGATTTCATATCCCACTAATAAATCTCAATTTGTAATGTGAAAAGCACTGATCCAACAAGTCTCCCTACAGCCCCTCTTTCCTACCTCCAGCAACAACTGCAGTCCTTGTAAAAAAGTAAATCACACCATTTCCCTGCTTAAAACTCTTCAGTTGTCACATAAATAAAGTTCAAACTCCTTTCCATGGCCCTGCTAAGGCCTTCCATGATCTTGACCCTCATCATCCACTTGACTTGCTGGGCCTCCAGCCTACCTCAGGGCCTTTGCACATCATCTATTTCCCCAGGGCTGTTCAAGGCTAGCTCCTTTTCATTAGATATCATCCCTTGCCCCCCAGAAGAAAGATTCCTGACCACCCTATCTTAAAGAACCTCCCCCATCCCCTTCCTGGGCCCTAGCACCTCTCCTTGTTTTCTTTCCCTAGTGGTTCTTTTCATAATCTGAAAGTACGTGGTCTACCTGCTTAGTTGTTGTCTGTCTTCTGCACTAGGATAAAAGCTCCATGAAGGCCTCTCAGTGCTTCAGTTTCCTCAACCATAAAATAGAGATGATAATTATACTTACTTCATCAAGCTGTTATGGGGATCATTACTTTTTTAAGTCCAATGCTGTTCTCCCAGTTCCTAGAACAGTGTCTGGCACGAAGTAGATACTCATTATGGTACAAAGAATAATTTACATTTTATTTTCTCTTTGGCCCTATAAGTCAAGATTTATCCTCCCCAATTTAGAAATGAGGAAACTGAGGTTCAGAGCATAAATAACTTGCCCTAGGTGGAATCAGGACAGAAACCTGGGTTTAGCTGATGTCAAAGAGCTTTATTCTTATTCTTAACCACTATACTGCGTACCTACTTGATAAAAGGCAGTATGGTTTAGTGGGTAAGAGCCTGGACTCCGGAACAGAACTCCCCAGGTTCAAATCCCACCACTGCAACTTACCATCTGTGGCCCACCCTGAGTTGTCTAAGCTTGTATCCCTTCCTATTTTCCCCCCGTAACACGGGGATAGAAAGTACAGACCCCTAGATGACTGCGGTGGGGACGGGGTAGTAAGGTAATAATGTAACCTATGGGAAGGTTTGTGACTTGGCAACATGTTTTCTTCCAACGTAAGAAGGTATGATGAGACTTAGCCACAAATCAAGCGCTGCAAGCAAGAGCATCACCCATCTTACTCTATTAGCCCTCACCACAATCCTATGAGGTACGAGTATCTATTATCCCCATTTCACAGATGAGGAAATTGGCGTTTGCTGAGATCTCTTCCTTCCGCCCCCAAGCCCGACGATCCTAAAGCTAACCTAACAGAACGACCTTGTTTATTTACTGACACCTCCCCTGACCCAATGGTCAGAGCCGTATCCGCAGCGCAGCTGGCTCTCAATAAACACTGAATGGTTGCCTGATTAAATGAATGAAGAAGTCCTGGCCTCGCTCAGCACAGTAACCCAGCACAGCTGCGAAGAAGGGGCCCGGGTAGGCTTAGGTACCCTCCCCTGCACGTAAGGCGGGCCGCCAGCCAGAGCCACACTGTCCAATTGGTTTCGCCTGCCTCGCGGTGGTCAGGCCCCCTTCTCAGGCCCACCACGCAGTCGCCGCCACGCCGGCGGGACACCGGCTGCCCTCGGACAGGTGCTATTCCCACAGGAGGCCGGCCCAGCCCGGACGGAGCGGAATGGCTGGACTCTGAGTCACCGCCCGCAGCCTCGGCCGAGGCCTCCCTGACTCCTAGGCGGACCGGGAGATCGGAGTCCGGAGGCGGCCTGGGTCTACTAGGGCGGGCTGCCCGTCCTTCGCGTCTCAGTCCCGGGAGGCCGCCAGCCTCTCGGCACGGTGCAGCGCGGGCCTCCCCGGCCTACTTGGGAGCCCAGCCCAGGCCCACCTCCTGAGTGCGGTCAGGCTGAAGCCCGAGCCTCGTCGCTCCCGATGTGGGACCCACCTCTCCGCGGGGGCCGCGCGCGGGCGGCAGCAACGGCCCAGCTACCCGCGGGCTGCAAAGGCGGCGGTGGCCCGGCTCTCCTCTCAGGCGGCGGCCATGTTGCTGGTAGAGAAACTCCGGCGGACACGTGGGGGGAGGCCGGCCCCAGCGCTTCCTTTTACCCACAATGCCCCGCCCCGGCGCGCGCGGCCCCGCCCCTCCGCGCCGCGCCATTCATTCGGGTCGTGAGCCCCGCCCCGCAGCAGGGGGCGCTGATGCGCGCGCAAAACGGAGCTCGGCGTCAACGTGGCAGGGACAAAAACATACAACCCTGGCAGCGGTGGGATTCGAACCCACGCCCCCGAAGAGACTGGAGCCTTAATCCAGCGCCTTAGACCGCTCGGCCACGCTACCCAGATGAGAGCATTATCTTCTAGAAAAATACTTAATGCCTTTCTAGAGATTTAGTTTTCTTGAAATTGTAATATATTTCCGTCGGAGTTTCTTCACTTAATACGTACTTTTTGCTTGATGCCAATATAATTATTTAGACTATGCCATGCATTTGAAATAAAATATTTGCTCCAATATTTATACCGAAGCTTGTTCGAAAACTGAAAAGCAGTTGAAGAATCTGTGATCTAAGTCGAATGGTTAACCCGGAGACCCTCTCAGGTGTCTCCGGTAGAAGACATTGATCCGGGCAGAGCAGAAACACGCACCTGGGGCTCTGACGGCCAAATGAGGGGAGCTGGTCTGGGCAGTTCTCTCTGAAAAATTATGTGTTTAAATTTTTAGTTACACAAATACCACGTAAATTATTGCAAATATTAAAACTTTGCAGATAAGATACAAATAAATGCTCTGACCTTTCACTTCCATTCTAGTCCCCTCCGCAGAGGTAATACCAGTTTAGTATATGGTAAGGTTTAAACGTGTCCCCCAAATTTCACGTGATGGAAACTTAATTACCAATGTGGCAGTATTGAAAGGTGGGGCCTTTAAGAGGTGATTGGAGATCATGAAGGCTCTTGAATGGATTAATCCATTCATGGATTAGTGGATTAATGGATTAATGGTTTATCATGGGAGTGGAACTGGTGGCTTTATAAGACGAAGAGAAATTTGAGCTAGCATTGGCACGCTCAGCCCCCTCACCATGTGACACCCTGCCCCCCTGGGGACTCTGCAGAGGGTCTCCACCAGTGAGATGACTCTCACCAGATGCACCCCATTGGCCTTGAACTTCCATAACTGTTAATAAATAATTTTTCTTTTTAAATCACCCAGTTTCAGGTATTCCGTTATAAACACCAAAAACGGACTAAAACAAATATATTTCCTTCCAGATCTTTTCCTGTAAATTTGTATGGATATGCACAGATATATTCACATGGAGATATATAGCCACAGAAAATAATTTTGTGTTTATTGTGAATGGGTTTTTACATAAATATTATCATACTATTAATATAGATCTGCAATTGGCTGTTTTTTTCCACCGGACTACGTATTGTAATATCTATCCATGTTATGTATATGAATAGATATTTTAAAATACAGGAAAAGTACAAAGAAAAAATCATCCATAATCTCACTACTTGGAATTAAATTAATTACTGTTAATATCATAACATTACTGTTGATATATTAAATACTGTTAATATGATAAAATAAATCTTTTCCTATTTATAAACTGTTTATTAAAAGTTACACAGGTAAAAATATGAATATGTTGCCCTTCTAAAAATTCATTTAAAAATATATTCAACTATTAACAAATAAAAATTATTAGAGCATTACAAATAAAAGTAAAGCCTCCTTCCCAAACATCCTCCCCTTCCTATTGCTGCTATCATGAATTCGATGTCAATCCTTCCAATAATTTCTTATACTTTTACATATATATTCATGAATAATATATAGTATGGTTTTCTGTATATTTTTCTTTTATGTTAATGTTATCACATGGTACTAATATTATTCTAAAACTTTCTTTTCTCACTTCAACATTATGTTTCTGAGGTCTATTACAATGCCCATACAACTAATTCTTTCCATACTATGAACATGTTTCTGAATTTTTGCCAGAATACACATATGGCAGGAACTATCCTTGTACATGATTCCTTATGCGTGTCTATGGATATTTCTCTGGGGTACACCAAAAATGAAAGTGCTGGGCCATATGTATATTTTCCATTTTATTAAATATTACCAAATTATATGAACTTGGGTGACTTTTTTCCTAATTCTTCCTAGGTTTTCTACTTTTTCCTGGGTCAAATTTGGTAAGTTATAGTTTTCTGGGAAACAAAGCACTTCACTTGATTTTTCACATTTATTGTTATAAGAAATCTCAACTCTCCCTCACATCTGAGGTTTTGTCCCCTTTATCATTGTCTACCATTTCTCTTTCCCTTTCTCATTTGCATGTCTTCCTTTCTCCGTTAGTTCAGCTCGACACAAGCTGCTGAGTCCAATCTTTGGGGGAAATTAAGCAGCAACTCCGCGGATTCCGGAGATGCTCTAGACGTGTCCCTAGTAAGCCACAGAAATCACACTTCTGTAAAAAGAATTCTGGTTTCCCATTGATTTGTATTAAACATTTCAGGGACCAGATTCAAGTTTCCGGCTAATATCCAGTTGGTACACACCCCTAACATTTGGGCATGCCGTATCTCTCCCTCTCTTCAATCCCTCCTTAGCCCATTGTTTTCCTCTATTCACCTTTAACATAAGTAATGGCACGCAAAGATTTCATTGTGCTAGAAGAGTTTGTTGCTTTTAAAGGAATTTTTAAAAATAGAGAAGCTGCCACCTATTGAGGACACAGACCAGGCATTGTGGAAAGTTCAAAGCTAAATGAGGAATAGCCCTTGATGTCAACAGGAACATTGATCTAGTCATTGTATTTTAGTACCAGGAGGGACTTGATTTGTTTGTGAGTTGTGTACTGGGCTTTCCAAAAGGAAATAGCCCCACACTGAAGGATAATTGCTGGCATCTCTGCCCAGTCCTACTTTTCTAGGAATTGCCTGACCAGCCCAGAGAGGGTCCCTGGCAGCCACTTTTGTGCCGTGTGCCTCTACCCCCCTCCCCGAGCCATGGCTAGTGGGTTCTATGGTGGACATAGGATTCAGGTTGGACCAATCAGATTCTTTCTTGAGACTCTGAACTGAGACATAATGAGGCATTGATTTGTTAATTTAACTGTGTTGTGTTGAAATTAGTCTCAGAGACCGGCTGGAACTAGGGAGAAAGGGGGCTTTGGGGTGGCCATGCTCTTGAGATGAGTGGAGAGGCAGAGAAAGCCTGTGCATAGAGAAAGAGAGAATGAGTAAGGAAGAGCAGAGTCATAGAGAAATCCTGATGGTTTTCTGGCTCCCAGCTCAAGACCCTTCCCAAGGCCCAGTGGAATTCCCATTCTTGGACACATTCCTTTATCGTTGTCATAAATTCCCCTTTTCTGCTAGAGCGGGTGCTACCTTGTTGCTGTCAATTGTAACCAATCTGAGCCTGGCAAGGGCTCAGATGAAGCCAGAGATATTTCTGCCAGAACATTCTGGAGCAATTCGGGCCTGTCTCTACCATCACATACTGACCAGGATGCTTAAATAACAGGAAATCTGCAATCTGATCCTGGAAGACAGAGCCCTGGGCCGCCTTTTTGGAAATTTCTTATGTGAAATTTCAGATGTGAAATTCTTAAGCAGGAGAAGCAGAATGTTGCATCGGAACCAGCTCAAGCACCACAGATCCAACATTGCCCACTTGCCCCCTACTCCCAATGCAAGGGCTGTCAGGTGCAGGGTGTTTGTCTCCACATCCTAAGCCCTAGGCTGGGGGCAGTGGGAAGGGGTGTGGGGGCTCAGGCCTGGGTCCCCTCCGTTCTTTTTTTTTTGAAACAGAGTCTCACTGTGTTGCCTGGGCTAGAGTGCCGTGGCGTCAGCCTAGCTCACAGCAACCTCAAACTCCTGGGCTCAAGCGATCCTACTGCCTCAGCCTCCCGAGTAGCTGGGACTACAGGCATGCGCCACCATGCCCGGCTAATTTTTTCTATATATTTTTAGTTGTCCAATTAATTTCTTTCTAATTTTAGTAGAGACGGGTCTCGCTCTTGCTCAGGCTGGTCTCGAACTCCTGAGCTCAAACAATCCGCCCACCTCGGCCTCCCAGAGAGCTAGGATTACAGGCGTGAGCCACCGCGCCCGGCCCCCCTCCGTTCTTTACTCCCTTGCCCCCCAAAAGGAAAAGGATCTCAAACCTGTTCTGAGACCAAATGTTTTTGGCAATAAATTAGCATTCCTGGTAAAATGCTTAAGCATTTTTCTTAAAACATTGAATAGCATTGAGATTTGTGCTGGGAAACTAGCTTTCTACCCACCCATTTGACTGTCATTTGTTAGTGAAGAGTGCAGTGATCTTTAATGGAAGATTCTTTTCTACCTTGTCTAACAATAATTATCTGATCATTGTCTTCTTCTATAAAACGTCTCCACCAAGACAGAGGTCAGAAGAGTGGTTACCCTTGTCTGCAGTGATGTGGTGTGTGTTGCCTGGGAGGGGGCCTGAGAGAGCTTTCTGCCATGCTGGAAATGTTCTGTATCTTGAACTGGGTTGTTAGTACATGGATGTATACATAGGTAAAAATTCATCGAGCTGTATACTTAAGAATGTGCAGGCCGGGCGTGGTGGCTGACGCCTGTAATCCCAGCTCTCTGGGAGGCCGAGGCGGGCGGATTGTTTGAGCTCAGGCGTTCGAGACCAGCCTAAGCAAGAGCGAGACTCCGTCTCTACTAAAAACAGAAAGAAATTTAATTGGACAACTAAAAATATATACAAAAAATTAGCCGGGCATGGTGGCGC